TCTCAGTTGTGTCCCTAGTTTGCTGTGTGCATGTGGGCAAGTCATACATAGTCTCTGTTTCCTCATCTGTCAAAAGTGCCTGTACACAGTGAGAGCAGAAACTAACACATTTTAAATCAACTAGACTCCAATAAAAATTAAAAAAAAAAAAAGACGGGCGAGGTGATGTGCAAGGGCTTGCTCCACTGCCTCCGCACGTGCACAGCAAGTTCCGCTAGACCCAGGCAGGAGGTGGAATTGTGTTCTGATGTTCTCGTCTCCTGCAGAGGGAGCGGAGCACGGGGACATGAGCAGGAAGTCCTGTGCACTGTCTAGCTCTGGATCTCTCCCCTGCTTCCTGATAGGGATTCCAGAGGGTTATGCAGTTGGAAAAGGGCAAGAGAGTAGGACGGCTCTGACTGAAAGAGCCTTGAGGAAGATCCTGGGGTTCTGACCCCCAGTTCCATGCAGAGACCACACCCCTGAAGCAAGCTCTTCTAAACATGAGCCCTTCTGTGCACTCCTGTTAAATCTGAGGCTGCAGGTGATCTTGAATGTGGTTTCTTTGCAGTCTTACGCTTACTGCTTGGAGGTAGGAGTCACCATAAGCTCAGCAAGTCCGCTCCTCTCCCAGGGCCTCCCAGGGCTGGCCGACTATGCTAAGCAGGCAGTACAAATGTGACAAACTGAAAGGGGCCTCGGGGGCAACCCTCAGTGAGCAGTTAATCCCGTAGCCCCAGGGACCCTCCAGGCAGCTCGAAAGAGCTCACAATGTTTGGATATCCAGCCAGGTTCCCCACAGAGAGCAGCCCAGCTTGACCACAGCACCCCAGACACTAAGAGAACTGTGGTTCACAGAGCCGGTCTGGGCTCCACTTTTGGTGGTGTTTGTATTAGATGAGGCAGCTAGGGCCCACTAGTGCTAGGACACTTTCCCAAGGTCACATAGCAAATCAGGAGGCGGAAGGGAGACTGGAGGCCAGGTCTCTGGTCTCTTGGGGCTAAGCCATGGCTATTCCTGCCCATTGAGTCCCTGGGCAGACCTGGCTGGCTAGTCCTCAGGACAGTGACCATCTGGAGAAGTGAGCAGGGCTCCCAAAGCCATTTAAGAGTTTTCTCCTGCATCACTCCTCTGGGAACCAAGTAATAGCGGCAGCAGCTTTTGGGACTCCTGACTGGCCTCCCCTTTGAGTCAAAGGCCAGTACTGTTTTGGGTGGACAGTGGTGGCTGGCAGGACTGGTGATGTCACTGAGAAGTCACTAAAAGGCAGCCCTGCTTCCCTCTCCCCGGGGATGGATTCTGAGGGGCCTGCAGCCATGTCAGCCCCAGCAAAAAACAAAAACAAAAACACCCCAAAAACCCAAAATCAAGAAAACAGCCTCCTGCTCATCATATTCACTGCCTGCCACTCAGCCAGGATGGACTGATACCACCGAGTCACAGGTGGGTCCTACTGAACAGAAATTTGCATACTGACCAGTAACCATGGCAGCCTGATGCTGGACTCCCAGCAGGGCCAGGCTTACCAGACAACAGACAAAGTCTTCATCCTGGACATGTCCTACGACACCTGGTCATAGGCACCTGGACAAGAAGGCCCTAATGTCGACCCCGGAGCATGTGCTTGTGTGCTTGTGTGTGTGTGAACAGGTGTCAGCAGACGTGTGTTTGTGTGCAAGTGCAGGCATGTGTTTGTGTTTGTGTGTGTGTGTGTGCAGGTGTGCGTGCTCTTGTATATGGTGGGTATCCAGGTGTACAAGTTTTGAGTCTTGGGAAGTGGAGGGGCTGTCGAGGGAAGAAGGAGAAGCTTTTAAAGGGCTACTGCGGCTGCAGGCTCTATTTCCGTGGCCTCTGCAAAAGGTAACCTGGTCTAGAGGCTGTCTGGGCAGAGGGGGAAGGTCAGACACTTTGCTCAGGACGTGCTGGGAGTCAGCCTCCAGGGGACTGATGCTGCCCCTCTGGCCTCCACTCCCATGCCAGCAGTAGCTGGAAGAGGAGCTCAACTGTGTTCAAACAACAGCAGGCCCTTGACTAAGCCCTTGGTGTGCATCACTTCACTTCATCCTCACAGCAACCCTAAAGGCATAAATGCCTCTATCCCCATTTTACAGATGAGGTTAAATGAGGCCCCAGAACAGGAAGCTCAGCTGCTGGCAATTTTATTCAGGTCCATCTGAATCGAAGCCTGAACACTTAAGTTAGCATTTTTCACTCCTTTTTCAATAATTATCTGATAGAGCAGTGCATGAAGTGCTCTGGGCAAAATGCTTGGAGAGTATAAATCCTTTACCAAAAGGTATCAGCAAGGATCCCAGTAACACTAGGCAGAAAGGCTGCATTTCCAGGCTCCTTTCTGGGCTCCCGGGGCCCTGCTGACCCTCCCAGAAGATCTGAGCTGCAAGCTGAAGCAGCCCAGCTGGCAGAGAAGCTTGGACAGTGGCCGAGTTTTGGAGGCTCTGCTGCTCAGATTCAGGATGGGCTGGGACTCCCTGTCCAGAACAGTCCCATAAGCTAGGGGGACTCTGGGCCTAAGGGTGAAAAGGAATAGGCCCTCCATCGCCTCTCTCCCCAGGTCCTCAGCCCCACCTGGCTGCTCTGTCCTCCTGACCTACGGTCCTCCAATGGGGCTGGATCTGACTCTGCAATTCCTCTTGGAGCCTGGGCTCTGGAGAGTTCTGTTGGGCCACGTGCCCACAGGCTCTGTTCTTATCCCCATGGCCTTCCTCCCTGGCCTCCAGTGGGAGGGGCCTGAGGACAGCGCTGCCCCCAACACTCTATTAAGAGAGTTGACCACCTGGGATAACCAGCCCCGACCTCCCTGGCGCCTCTCCTCGTCAAATCTTGGCTTCCAGGTTCCTGTGCAGGGAATGTCTAGGCTTTTGTGCTGTGGTCTGAGAAGGATCGGAAGGCTCCTTTCTCTACCCTGAGCCCCAAACCCCTTTTCTCTAAGGGCTACCTAAATGGTCCCCTGGGTCCCTTCCTCGGCCTCTTCATGCCCAGGCACCATCAATCTAGTTCTAATTCCTCATGGGACCCATCTGTCCTCCCTGGAGAGGAGGAGGTGAGTGGTGGGTCGAGCAGGGGCCTAGCGTGCTCTGGAGGACGGGGGACACGGTCCCGCCTTGCAGGCCAGTGGACTGCTGGGCCCCAAATGGAGTCCATGACCAGCCTGTGGCTTTCTGCTCTGCTCCACCTCCACCTGATGGCACTTGAAGGCACTGCTCCCAGCCCCCAGTAAAACACGCCACAGTTAGGGCCTCATCCTTCAGCTCCAGGGGTCACACTTTTCTCGGCAGACTGTGCAAACCAGAAAGCTCCAACTTCAGAGATGGAAGAAAGGAAAGGAGTGAAGTCCTGGATGGGGACTGAGACCAGAGAGGGCCTGGAGAGAGTCACCAGTTACCCCTTGATTCCTTCTTCCCTCTATGCCTTAGTATTTGCGGCAACCCTCGCCCCTACTCCAACATCTAGCTGCACAGATGACTCTGGTCTTCACGGAAACCACCGCCCTGGGACCTGTTTTCCCTCAATCCACCTTCCCCACTCTCCCCCATCACCCCAAATCAAATCAAAACAAACTCTGGCCAGATGGAAAGGCAGGCTTTCTGAGAACTTGCTTCTCTCTCTCAAACACACGAGCACACATGTGCACACACTCATTGCCCGGCCTCACCAACAGCCTGACATCCTCAGACAGGCTCTCAGAGGCAGGTGAGGGCTCTGCAAATGCTTCTTCCCATCCTGGCCAGGCTGCCTGACCCCAGTGGTGAAGAGGCCTGAGCCTGGCTCTGAGCAGCTGCAGAGAGAATTCAGTGTTACTGCGACCAGGCAGTACAGCAACATGAGGCAGGGGGTGTATCAGTCTCCTCTGTGTGAAACCCAGCAGGTGCTTCCCCAGGAAAGACCCCCCAGTGACCCCTGCCTCTTGTTTGTAGAAAAGCTTTAGCCTCCTAGGCCTTTCTCCTTGAGTTCCAAAGAGCAACTTTAATCAGAGAAGTGAGAAAATGCAGAAACAAAGGAAAACAAACAAGACAAAATAATAAGAGTTTAGCCATAAGACAAAGTCAAGGACCTTTGGTATATCCTTGAGTTGTTTTGCAGATACTAAAACCCCACCAGGTGTTAGAAGTTAACTACATGATGACCACCCCCAGCCCTAGGCTGATTGGAACCAGAAGGTCGATGATTGAGATTCCTGAAACACCCTGTTACCTCACCATCAACCAGTCAGAGGACTGAGCATGAGCCGATCGTGCACCTCGTGACCCCACCCTCCCACAGTCTTTAAAAACCCTTCCCATGAGCCCCTTGTATTCTCTGCTTGACACCTTACGACTAGCGCTGTTCTTTCTTTCACCTCCAGCCCGTTTGGTAGGTTCGCTCTGCTGTGTGTTTGGCGTAGGGGACCCAAGTTTGGTTCAGTAACACGCACAGGCTTCTGATGAGGACTGAGAGGAGCCTAGGACAGCCCCCCGCGTTTCCCGGCCCACCCCAATCTCTCTAAGCTAAGGCCCCATCCTTCCCACGGGGTCGGGGGTAGGGTGGGGGAAGAACTGTCAGTTACCAGGGAAGGAAAGAAATAGAAGAAAGAGACATACTGGAGAAGTTGACCATTGCGAACTGCTGACACCTGTCCCCGGTGTATCCCACAGGACACCTACCAAAAGAAAGAAAACCAGAAAGAGAGAGCCAGGATAGCAAGACATAGGCATTGCAACACCCCGGCACAGGCTCCTGCCAATGCCAGCTGGGTTCCTTGCCACTGTTACCATTTGTACCGGCCTTGCCACTCTGCCCCTTACCTGCAGCCCTGAACTTTAAACCCAAGGATTAGGCCAAAAATGAAAAAGCAAAACAAAAGAACTAACAAACCAAAATACAAAAAAGAAACAAAACAGCCAAAGATCAAAACAACCAACACCCCTGGCCCTATGTCCTACAACGGGGTGAGGAGTGGGGGGGGACTGCACCCGGAAGCTTTCTAAGGAGCAGGGACTCGTGTTTGTATCTTCAAACATACTTTGCTTAGGATCTGGCATGTACAATCGCAAAGGCAGTTTCTCCAAACATCTCTGTCCGAAGAATCCGTTTGGACATCTGGAGAAGGAAAAGGGGAAAAATCACAGAACAAACTGGCATCATCCACGAGGCTTAGGTTAGAAATCAAAGTGCACAGTGATGAATGAGAAAACCAAGTCGAGCGCTGGGGCACACTCGTTGCTGAAGGGGCTGGAGTCGGGGCTGGGTGGAGGGCTCGGAAATCTCCTTCAAAATCTCTCTAATAGATGTGGCTCCAGGTGGTGGGGAAGCGGGGGAGGGGTAGGGAAGAAGATGATTTGGGGAAGCAGGGTGGGGAAATTGGGAACTTACTGCCTAAAGGTCCTAATGGTTATTGAGACTTCCCTTCTGACCTGCCTGGGGCCCCATGAAGCCAGAATTGTAGACCCTTGGTGCCAGGCAGTCAGTAGGCTGGGGGGCTGGGAGTCTTCTGGAATACCAAGTTCTGGGGAGACATTCCTTCCAAGCCCTACCAAAGGGTTCTCTCCAGGGCCCTGGGCAGGTTTTCTCATCCATGAAACAGACCCCAGAAAGCTCAAAGGAGAACTTGGGAATGCTGTTCCCAGACTGTGTGCCTCCAACAGAAGGGGCCTTGGAGATGTCTCATCTGTTCCTTCAAAGAGGGCTCTGTGGCCAAGTAAGTTTAGGAAAACCATTCCCAGGCTTCCTTGTAGAGTTGCAGTGCACGCTAGCACATGAAAGGCTATGAAAAGTTTTGTAGGAGGAAAGAGCTGAACTTTCCAGTAGGTTCCAAATGTATTTGACTTTGGAAGTTGTTTTTTGAGGAATCCTTGTGAACATACGGTTTGGGGAAGGCTGCCCTAGAGCAGTATACACGGGAAAAGCTTATGGGGAACAGGTGAGGGTGGAGAGAAGCCTGAATTACCAGCATCCCAAAGCTGGTGGGCTGAGGGCAGGCGTGGGGGCCTCTGGCCTCAGGTGGCAAGAATCACGGTGGCGGGGTGGGGGCGGGGCTGCAGCCTGTTCCGCATCAGGGGGTCAACTGGCTGCCTGGGACACCTGCCCTTTCCCCACGACCTGCTCCTCCATCACTGCCTGGCTCTAGCGGGAGTTCATTCTCCCACGTTGCCTCCTGCAGAGAACCACCCACTCCCATCTCCCTGACCTTGTCCTTAACTCCCAAGGTCCACTTCCTTCTGCTCGCTGGCTGCCACTCTCCCCTCGAGTCCCTGTCTTGTAGATTTCTGGGAGACATGCCCAGCCCTTGTACTCTCTTCTGAACCCCAGCAAGGCCAGATACTTAAGGGAAGCTTACAGATAGGGCCAGACTGACCCTCCCGCACCGCCCCCTACTCGAAGATGGGTCTATGCTCTTCTGCCTCTTCTAAATTAGGACATTAGGTAAGCCCATCACCAGCGTCCCCTCAATAACAGGTCAGTGATGTTCATTAGTAAACTTCCCCAAGAGGTGAATGTACTCTACCTCTTAGCATTCTAGCGTATACCAACCATCCCCTTGAACTTACAGGGGGTGATGGCGATTGACTGTGATAGACCCTCACAAAAACCCTGTGGCCTCCAATCTAGCCTGGAGGATTGGGAGTGGTTGATGAGCAGATAGCTGGAGTCTCTCTGGGCCTTACTGTATCTCCCTCAGGGGAGGCAGGAGGCTGGTCCTTGTAGCCTGGGCAGTGTGTGTGCAGGTGTGCCTGGCTAATGAATGGTAGTGGAGGGGGGGAAGTGTGTCTGGAGAAGGGGGAGAGCCTGTACGTGAAGCTGATGCACGCTCATCCTGTTGAACAGGGTGGCTCGGAGGAGGAGGCTACAACTTTGTCAATACGCCCTTTTCTGACCCCTCGCCCTCGTCCCCAGTCATCCCAGCCCAGGAGAATGGAGGCAGTGGCTAAGGCATTCCGACCAGCTCCACTCAGGCTCAGCCCTTCTTCCTCAGCTCTCGGAAACTGATTCCACTTGGGATGGGACTAGAGGCGCAGGAGTGACTTTTCAAGCAGCAGCATCGTTGCGGGTGGACGATAAAGACCCAGGACATTGCCAAAATGACTCTTGCAATCAGGAATAAGAAAGAGATAGGCTTGACTGTGTCCAGTGTCTGAGATTAGCCCGGCTCCTGGAGACAGGAAAAACCTGTGTGTGTGTAAGAGAAAATGGGGGAGTGCAGGGGCAGGAGGGGACAGAGGGGAATTTATCCCCACTGCTGAGAGTCACGATGCTTTCCTGTGGCTCTTGGAGACGGAGGGTAATTGAGCACATCCCTGCGTTCCCGGCCCCACACCCAGCCTGGACTACCCCGACTCTATCCTCGTATTATTCGTGGGCACAGAGTTGCACAGCTCCAGGTGGTGCTGTGGACACCGTGTACAACACGAACAAGCCCCCTGGAGTTGTGCGATATAGTCCTAACCTTCCTGCCCTGGGAAAGTGCCCACTAGCTCAACAAAGGAGAAGGTGTGGGGGGGGGATGGGCACTGCACGGGGCTGGGATGACTAACACCTGAGCTGTTCCTCAGGCACTGGCTCCTTTCGAGGGGCTTTTGGACACTCCTGTTCTCTCGTTAGCCCTGCTTGTTGAGGATGAGCCACGTCCAGGAGGCTGGGGCTTCCCTAGAGAAGGCTCTGGGGGTGGGCCTACAGTCTCTCTACCCTGCTGTCAGGACCTGGTAACAGGGTACAGGCTACATTAGCCTATCAACCAGGAGCAGGGCCTGAACTTGGCGTGGGTGGCTGGCTGGTAGTGAGTTCCCACTCAAACGGGTTGACCCCCTGAGTTTCAGGGACACAGGGGACAGATTAGGAGGAGCGGCAGGTAACAGGCTTCCCAGCCCTTCCCCCCAAGCTGTTATCCTTGACTACGGGAAGGTCTGTGCTCAGGGCTGGAGAAGAGCAGGGGTGAGAGAGGGGCAGAGAGGAGAGCCCACGGGCTGCATCTGGGGTGACAGAGAGGCTGGGACTCTGCCTCCCTGTTTTCCCACCCCACCTCCCGGGCCTCAGTGTCTCCTTTTGGTAGCCTGGGGATAATGCCATGTGTGCTGCCCTCACCCAGGGGAGAGGGAGGATGAAGGATGAGGGTGTGCCCCGGGCACTGGAGGGAGTGAAGGGTCTCTGGCCTCATGAGGGGTGTGGGTGGAGAGAATGAGCAGGCAGATGGGCATGGGATGGGGGAAATCACCTGGACATGGGAGCAGAGGGGATGGGGGGGGTGAGCTGATGGGAAAGGGAGGCATGCCACTGGTATGTGCACAGGGCTGGAAAGAGAGTCTTGTTCTGTCATCATCCCCTGAACCAGTCCCCAAGAGTCACGCACCAACCGTGCTCTATAAAAACACGGAGAGAAGAGGAGAAAGCAGCAAGAGGAAGTGCAGAGGCCCCTGTCTGGCCCAGACAGGAGACGGTCACCTTGATTTGGACCCCCGTTTTCAAATCCCCCTAAGCTTTCCTTTTTTAAAACAAAATTCAGTATCAGTGACACTGTTTCTTTTGGCTCTGAATTCTAGAAAAACAGGAGGGACGGAGTGTGCCTGTTTTCCAACACTCCCCGCAGGGCTCTGAACCAATACACAACAACAAGTGTCAGAAAACCAGGAAGGAAAACTGATTTTTGTAGAAACTGGAATGAAACTGACCAGTCTAGTTTCATTATCCAAGCTAAGCGGAAATGCAAAAAAATCAAAATAAAAGTAAACAAACAGCACAAATGGTACGACGTGAGTTCCATTTCCTAAGTTCTTTCCTTTTTATTCCATGCATTCCATTCAGGGTGTCATCAGGAACCCCAAGAGGCCTACCCGCCTTCCCTCCCAGCTCACCCACCCCCAGAATGGCCTCTGGGTTCTGCCCTGCCCCCCTCCCCCCTGCCCTTCTCCAGCACAGCTCTGAGGACCTGCCCTCCTGATTGCAATCCCCGCCAGGGATGCCCCTCTCCCCTGAGGGCTCAGGGCATCAGGGAAGTTGGCTCCAGGAGCCCTGGCTGGGGCTGACCCAGGACAGGCTGAGATGGGGAGGTGGTGGTTCTGGGTACCAAGCTCAGGTTCTAAGCAGTGAACCCCAGTTGCCCTGGTGGGGCGGGGAAACAGGACAGCATCTTCACAGTGGCTCAGGCTCCTGCCCTCTGCTCCTCTCAGACTTAGCTGGGCAGGACCCAGAAAGTCCTAGGGGTACAGCCTTGCTGGCACGGCCCCCTGGGAATCCTATAGCTCACTACTCTTTCCCACACTAAACTCTGGCACTGGAGTCCTGGGTCCCATGGCCCTCCTCAGCCCTGACACCTGTCCCGGGTGGCTGAAACCTTTTCTGTCTGGAGCCAGTGACAATGCTGGATCCCTTCAAGGTTCTGGGATCCAAGGGGCTAGGGAAGAAGAGAGGCCTGGGGTGTATGTGTTTGTTGTGGGGGACAAGAAGAAGGGGTCCAGGGCTAGGCCATCTCTGTGAGGTATTCCAGAACGCTTATGCATTTCTATAGATCTTTTCCAAAGTGCTCAGAGCATTTTCAAGGCTAGAATGTTCCCCAGGGTCTGTGGCACTAATGTGGCAGCTTCCTAGAGGCAGAAAGAGAGAGGAAGGATGAGGGGCTGAGTCTGGACTGAGAACTCCCCTGGGGGACCTGCTGTTGCTTTTGGGACTGTCCCTTGAGATTCAGGATGGGGGAGGCCGGAAGGCGGATGGCAGCAGGTGACAGGTGGAGCCGAGGTGGATGCTGGCAAAGGAGGCCAGCTGGAGCAAGAGGCACAGGTGTGCCTGGCAGTCCAGGCTCAGCTCACCCAGCACTGAGGGGAGGGCGTGAAGGAGGTGTGGCCCCTCGTTCTCACGCTGTGAGGTGGAGGGGTCTTTGGCCAAGGCTGTAGTCAGGAGGGAGATGCAGCTCTGGAGCTGGAGGCCAAAGGCAGGAAAGCCGAGAGGAGTGCTGAATCTGACCTTATCTGTGGAGAGGGCAAACGCCTCTCTCCGTGAATCTTCATCAGTACTCTGCTGGCCCCTGCCCAGATGCCACGGCAATGGGGCAGCTTTGGCACATCGCCAGCGCCCTAGGCTTGGGCTGCCTTGAAACCCAAAGTTGTGAACTAGGCCTCCCTCCCTCTACTCAGGATCCGGCCAGAACCTGTGCTGCCCTCACCAAGCTCCCCTACCTGTTCCTTGCTCACCTACCAGAGAATCTGTCAAGGGGGCAGTGGGGGCCCGGCTCCCAGAAGATGTGGCTGGGCCTGAGCAAGCCCTCCCTGATCACTGTGCTCCCACCTACCCTGTTTGCTAAGGGTGGGGAGCAGGGGGTCCTCAGCTCCTGGGAGTTCCTTCGGGGCAGCTCTTGGGGGGAGGCAGAGTCCCAGCATGAGCTTTTGCTCAACCCTGACCTCCCCCACTCAGCCACACCCAGAGTGATGTCCTTGCTGGTGGCCCTTCACTCCCCAGAGAGGGGCTAGGGACTGAAGTGGCACAGGCAGCAGCCAGAGCATATCTGGGCACTGGGGTCCTGCTGGGCAGGGAGAAGAGCCAGGTCCTGAGGCGAGCACTGGGGGCAGAGCCCTCTTCTTCCCTCAAGGCTATAAGAGCAGAGCTCAGCTAGCAAGGGCTCTGGGACGTGTGCCCTACCTGACCCTGCCAGGCTCCTCACTGCTGGGGAAGATGCACCCTGGCCAATGTTCATCAGAACAAAGTTTGGAAAGTTGCTGAGAGATAGGGAGGGGAAGAGAGAGAGAGAGAGAGAATCCAGTGCCCCGGGCATAGACTGGTCTCGCCATCTCCCTAGAAGGTGTTGGTGAAAGGGTGGACATTGGAAGATGGGGTGGGTAGGGGCCTGGGAAACTGGGACTGCAGAAGCCCTGAGCCCTTTAGAGCTTACATCTCCCTGTATTCCAGGAAAGGGCTAGGAAGTGGGGCAAACCTCCCTGTCTACACCCCTTGGAGACCCCTTATTAGTATCTTGAAGCTCACTTTTCCTAGAGCCCTCCACTTCTGCCCCAGCCTCTCTCCCCCTGCTCCTGCCCCCATGCCTGCCCCCACTGGTGACTTACTTGCAGGAGAGCTGGTTGATGCCCTCGATGTAGTAGCAGACGCCTCCGTTGACACAATAGGACTTGGCTGTCTCGTTGCACTTGCGGGCGTGCCCCGACCAGGATGATAGGGTAGTGCTCACTGGAGGTACAAGAGACATGTGCCGGTGACCCACCGAGACCACCTCTGGGCCCCAGGAATCACCTCCTTCATGGCCCATCTCAAAGCTGGACGATCAGAGACTGTAGGAATGGCTGGGGTCGGGGGAAGGTCTGGTGGTCCCTCCCAGTTCACCAACAAGGCCAAGGGGGGGCCACCGTGAGCTTGGACCATCTGCCCAGCACCACCTTGCACCCTCGCTCCAGGCAAACCTTCAAAGGCTGGGAAGATTTTTTTTGGAGGGGATGACAGGCTAGCAGAAACTGCTCCGTCTTCTGGCATAAGGGCCCACCTCTGCTGCCTGCCTTCCTGCCTTTCTGGGGGCTCCGCTGCAGGTGGATGAGGCACCATGTCTTACGTGGGGGGCAAGTCACAGGGGTTCAGGGAGGAGACATTTATATCTGTCTGCACTGCTGGGGCTCTCATGGACCAGGGCGTGATTACAGGGAGCTGGGCTTTGAGGGGAATGGCACCTTTTTGGGCACTGTAATTTTCTGCGATCTAGGGACTTGCGGCAAGAACCCTAGCTTCCGTCTCTCCCCTCTTTGTCCCAGAGTTGGGCCAAGGTGCCCGGAAATGCTACAAAGGCCGCTATGCGCGTCTCCATAAGCATCCCGGGCCGCCTTCATGTCCTCCCTCACCAGGAAGCCTCCACCTCCCCGACCCGGTCAGCTGTTGCCTCTGGAGGGAGCCTCCAGGCCTTGGACAGCCCAGGCCGTAAATCCGGGGCTTCACGTTACTGGGGAGAGGGCTGGGGGACAGCTGGGATGTGGAAACTAGGTGACAGTAAGACTGGGCTTCAAGGCTGCTAACCCAGACCGCACACCTGATGGATCAGATTCATTTGATAAGTGAAAATCACAAAAGCACTGCTCCCCAAAGGGATGGCATCCAGGAGCCTGGTTTCAAGTGAAAATTCTTGCCCCAAATTTCAGTCTTTATCTATTAGCTAACCTCTTAGGCTGTGTATCCATATTGGGCAGCTAGAAACCGGTTCCTGCTCCCCCCTCAGCTTCTGTGGCTCTGAGGGCCTCTCATCCCCACCCAGCCGTGGCCTCCTGACTGAGGTGGCCCATCCTACCTTGGCCGGTCCTGTCTACTCAGGGGTACTGAGTCTCCACCATCCCCCGAAGTAAGTGGGGGGATGAGAGGAGGAGGAGGAGGGCCGGCACTTGGCGCCCTGAGTGTTTAGACGTGTGGGGAGACGGATGGAGCACGGGACTGGGAGTGTATACACAGCTCTGCCTCTGTATATGTCTGAGGAGCTCGCTGATAAAACCCAGCGGGTAGGGCCAGCTCCCACCTTCCCTCCACATCATGCCTGCTGCTGGTCTGGCATCCTCGAGCCCCACCCCTGCTGATGTCTCCCACCTCTGCTCAACCCCACACAAGGCTGGGACCCACATGCTTCTGGGTCACTGAGACCCAGGGAACTAAGAAAGGGACAGAGAAGACAAACAGCTGAGGTGACCACGCCTGTGAGTTATAAAATCTCATTGCCGGGAGGACCCTAGAGGTTGTCCTGCCCTTCAGTTACACTGCCAAGGAGGAGTGAGGAAAGAGAGCAGGGAAGGGCCTTCCAGAGTCCAGTGTGTGTTGTAACAAGGCCTCAGGGCTCCTAACATCTGGCTGAGCATTCTCACCAGGCACCTGGTCCCTCGTGGAAGAACACGTCAGCACCAAGGCTTGACGGGAAGATGCAAACACGATGTGGACCACGGGCCCGAGTCCTCTCACGGGCCTTGGCCAAGCCAGAGAAATCTCAGGGCAGCTTGATGCCCTCTGCAACCAGGGGTGGAGGAACCTGCCCAACGATGGGCTGCGTGAGCAGCGGGCAGGAGCGAGGATGGTGGCAGGACCACAGCTGCATGCTTGGGCCTGTCTACACGCACGTCTGTGCTGACTGAGGCCTTGGGAGGCAGAGGACGACTCCTGAGGGAAGACAGGGCCCCATCTTGGGATCCGTGGCCTAGGGCTGCCAGAACCATGTCATCACGGGGACTAGGCTGGGGCCCCAGAAAGGTAAAAAGGGAGGGCAATGGGGGAGCCGGTTGTAGAAGGTGTGGAGGGAAGTGACCACAGGCCTTTCCACCTCAAAAAGAAGTACCTTGAGGCCACCCCTGTGACGGCAGGGCCCTCCCAGCTCACGGCAGCCAACTCTGCTGGTGGTGAAGGCTCACGCCAGAAGCTTTCCACACTGAAGAGGTGCATTCATGCTATTCCAGCACACATGGGCCCCTAAGGCAATGCGTCACGCTGCCTCGTCAGCCTATTCGTATTTCTTCACTGTGTTCTCCCGTGTTTGGGGATGTGAAGATGACAAATGACCTCCAAGTGGGAGAATCTGGCCGCTCCCTGGATACCACCGCGGGGATGGCGCTGATCCACCCCAAACTCAGCTCCCACTCATCTGCCCCAGCCGCTTGTTCCTCTAGCCTTGCTCATCTCAATGACTGGACAGCACAAACCAAAGGCCTAGAGGGCATCTTTGATTTCTGGTCCTTCTCTGTTCCCCTAGCCGTCCATCACCGAGGGCTGCCTTCCTACCTCCTCCTGAGGCTCTGTCCATGTCTCAATACCGCCTCCGTGGTCTCTTTCCTGGATGGCCACAATCGCCTCCTCACTGGTCTTTCTGCCCTCACTCTTGCCTTCATCTCTAACCTTTTCGCTTCGCAGCTGCCACCAAAGTGGTCTTTAAAATATGTAAATTGATCAATCGCTTCCATTATCAAAACCCTCCAATGGCTTCCATTCATACTCATAATAAAGTCCCCCTCCCCCTCCCCAAGTCTAATCTGGGCCTAACCACCTCTCCCACTTCATGTCCTGTCCCTGTCTTGCAGCATATTCAGACTCCACTGGCTTAGTCCAGCTCCTCTAAGAGGCCACGAGCCTTCTTATCCAGGACTTTCAAAATATCAGTGTCTCAGAGAGGCTGCTCAGGCTCCTCCTTCATTCCTTCCCTTAGCTTTGTAACTTCTCCTTGTAGTGCTTATTCTAACAATTAAAGGACCAGTTATGCAATTACTAGCTGTCCAAAGCTTAGCTCCTCCACTAGAATGTAAGCTCCATTTGGGCAGAGGCCATGTCTGTCTGCTTCACTGGTGAACGAACCCCAATGTCGAGCACAGCGCTTGACATGTAATAGGTGCTTAACGAATATTTACAAATATTTCTAATGAGCAAATGGACATCAGATTCTTGAGAGAAAGGTGCCTTCTTCTACCATCCCAGGGTCTAGCCTGGTCTCCTTGGCCAATGATGATAGCTTTTCTGTAGGTTAAAGCATTGTCTCTTACTAAATGCAAATACTCCTGGAAGGTCATTAGGGAAATAAAAATCAAATCCACCGTGAGATAGCACTTCACACGCCCTCAGGTGGCTGTATTTCAAAAAAAAAAAAAGACGGATAATAACAAGGGGTGGTGAAGATGTGGAGAAATGGGAAGCCCCCATACTTTGCTGGTGAGAATGTAAAATGGTGCAGCCATTTTGAAACACAGCTGGTCATTCTTCAAAAAATTAAACAGTTACTACATGACCCAGCAATTCAACTCCTAGGTGTATACCCAAGAGAACTGAAAACATATGTCCACACAAAAACTTGGACACAAATGTTATAGCAGCATTTTTCATAATAGTCCAAATGTGGAAACGACTAGAATGATGCAACAACCTCAGTTGATGAATATATAAACAATGTGGTAGACCCAGGCAATGGAATTATTATTCAGTCACGAAAAGGAAAGAAGTACTGACCCTACTACAACATGGAGGAACCTTGAAAACATTATTTTAAGTTGAAGAAACCAGTCTTGAAAGGCCACATATTCTGTGGTTCTATTTATATGAAATGTCCAGGATAGGTAAATCCATAGCGGCAGAAAGGAGATTCTGGTTGCCAAGGGCTGGGGGGATTTAAAGAAAACACCTGGGAAGGATAAACCCAGGCAGCCTCTATCAGCCATTAGTGTCTTGGTGGGAGTGAGTTTATTGGATCTCTGAAGAGAAAATGGGCCGGGAAGGAGCTGATGCTGCAGAGATGTTCTGCCTGCTGCCAGCTACTGCAACTGCTTTTCTCCCTTGCTCTTGGAGAAAATCTCTGCTCATCTTTCAAGGCCCAGATCAAGTATCTCTTCATCCCGTAAGGCTCCCCTCCCGCCTGCCTGGGATGTCCCCTCTCCCGTTGTTAAGTTGCCTGTCTTTCCTCTTCAGTGTGTTAGAACAGGCAGACGCTTTGAGTTCAGGTTTTAGCTTCCTGCCATTTGAGGGGACTTTGGGAGCCAAGACTGTGACCCCTCAGCGCTCAGAACAGCGTCTTGCTGAGTTAGGCCTCGCTGAAGGCTTGAGTTGACAGTACACATGGGTGCACCTGTGATTAAACAGCTAGCCTTTCTAAGCCCCCAGGTAAGGGGCAGACCCAGAAGCCTCTCCAGGGCTTCCACGATCCTGTGACACCCCAGGTCACACCGGCCTGCCCTCTGGGGCAAAGCCAGGCCCGGCCCGATATCCCAGGACTTGGTATAGCCACCCCGGGACAGTCCACCAAGAAGGCCACACCCGCAAAGAAAGTTCAGCAACAGGATGAGAGCTGAAGAATGAGCTGATAGAACTGGAGAGAGATACACAAGACCACAGAGGGCCGAGGAGTGGCCCAGGAGTGGGGGCTGCACTGGGCGTGCCGCTGCGGTGGGCTGGACTGGTCAGGAGGATAGCTGCCTGGGAGAGATGGCGCAGGAGGAAGAATAAAAATGGGAAGGAGAGGCCGACTACAGTTAGGGTCGGAAAGGTCATTTGGGTTGGATTTGTGAGAGCTGGGCTGTGGGACCGAGTCCTTGTTCTTTGGCTCCATGGGTCGGGGAGTGACAGGGCGAAAGCATCTTGAGGCTGCTGCTCTGGTCCAGGTTCAGCAGGGATGAAACCTGGGCCAGGATTGCCCCTAAGGTGGGGTTGGAATGAAAAGGACAGACGTGAGTGAAAGATCCAGAAAGAAGATGGACCAGGACTCGCAGACTCAGACCTGGTAGATCCGGTGGTAAGGGAGATCGAGGAGCTGAGAGGCTGGGAGGACAAGGGAGGTCCCTTACAACACGGCAGACCGGGTCTGAGCCAGGCTCTCCTCTGAGGGTCACAGGGCAGGGTTCTCGTTAGACTGCGCTGGGTGTAGGGCGGTACTGGAGGGCTGTCTGGTGGAAACACAAGGAATGAAGGGAGATACAGGACTGGAAGTGAACCCAACAACCAGGTAGCCAAGTGGTACGCGGAGGCTGGGTGTCAGGAGGAGGAACGAGAGCTGTGGGGTTCTGAGGACTCAGGCTAGAGTGGAGGGGGCGCGACCTGAGGACAGGCAGCCTTGGTGACTTTCCAGTCAAGGGCAATAACCAGAGGACAGCCCAGCAGGGAGGCCGCCTCCATGCCGAAGCCGGAGCTGCCTCTGCGGAGGGGGGAAGCGAAGGGTGCCGTGGGCTCCTGACCTTGCACGTTTCCCAGGGAGGGGATGACCTGTGGGAGAGGGTCCTGCCATCCCTGAACTGAGGCTGCCCCCAGGGGCCCGGGGCACCCAAGCCTCCCACCCGTGGCCCCGTGGAGCAGGCTGCCTGCACTCGGGCGCCCAGCAAAGCAGCGGGCAGGCAGCTTGCGCGCACCCTGGGTCTGCCTCTTCCCGGAGCCCTGCTTCAGGCAGCCCAGCCTCCCATAATTGCCTTCTAAAAATATCCTTCCCCCCACCCTCACCTCTTGATTTCAAAATATTTAGTTTTCAGGGTATTTAAAACGAGAGCTGGCGGCTCTTCCAGGTCCAGATAACAAAGCTAAACATTTATGCTTCGACTGCATTTCTCTGAATCGGCTCAGATCTTGGGGCTTGATACGGCAGTGGCAGGAGGGAGAGGAGTCAAGTGCAAGACGGATCATGTGCGGGCCTCCCTAGGGCTGGGGGGCAACTGGCCCACCCCCACAGAACCCCTCTAGGACCCCTCCCTTCGTTGGGGGACCACCTACCGCTGTTGACGAAGAGCCGGCCCCTGACGGTGTCCTTCCCCAGGATGTTCTCAGCCTCGCAGACGTACTCCCCAGCGTCCTCCACCTTCACCTTGTTGAACTGTAGTCGTGAGTTCTTTCTGGTTAGGGAGGGGATAAGAGGCGAAGAGGCGTGAGCCAGGGCTTAGGTTGGCTGTGGCTCCCCAGCAGTCACCCAGAGGTCACCTCTCCCTGCACAGCCACAGCGTCTACGCAGCGTGGACGGGAAGTAGATTCCCTCCGACCAGCCATTGCTGGGGTCCAGGTGGAGTGCAGAGTCCCCAGGGCTGGAGGGAGACCTGGGCACCCAGGACAACATTGGGATTCTAAGCCCATGAATCCTCACATTCACTTTTCCAGGGCTGGGCCTTCTCTGTAACCATTTTTCTAGAGGAGGAAAGTGGAGTCCTTAGGAAGTCGCATGGCCACCTCCCTCCTTTTCCTTTAGTGCTCTTCTCTCAGGCCCGCTGTGTCTCCCCCCACCGCCTTCCAGTAGAGCAGCTGCTGGCTCACAGCTACCTCAGCCTTCCCTTAGAAGCGGTAGCCCGTCATTCTAGATAAGCCAGGCCTATTTCCAGATACCCGGCAGGGCCACCAATCTAACAGGTTCCCATGGCAACTGTGCCCAGCCTCCCAGTCCAAACCTGTAGCTCTCTCCTGCCTTTGTGTCGGCCCTGTCACTAAGGGGCACTCTGTGGCCTCCTCAAGGGGTTTCGCTTCATTCATTCAACAAATGTTCACCGAGTGCCTTCTGTGTGCTGGGAGCTTGGATACCTCAGGGAACAAAAAGATCCTATCCTCAAGGCCTGACTTGACCCTTGTGGCTAATCTGGAAGAGGACAGGACAGGACAGATGGGAAAAATGAGTCCCAGAGGGGCTTCTGGACTTGTCCAAGGGTACCCGGCAAGGCAAAGGCAGAGGTGGATAAGGAGCTGGAGTTGGTGAGGACTTGGGCCCCAAGCAGCTCGTGGGCTGTCTCCTGGAGCCTGATGCTGAGGCTGACCCCTCTGTTTAGGGCTTTGCACCCAGCCCTGAATGCCACGAGTTGTGGGGCGAGGCCTGGGCAGACACTTCAGTGCTGTGGGTGACTCCAGGGCACCTGGCCCTGCTTCCCCTCTTCTTTCTGAAGATGCTGCCAAACCTCTCCTTCCTTCCGTGGGCTTCCCTGCACTTGCCCGCGGTGCCTGGGTTCCGTAGGCTCTGTTCACACCTCCCATCCTTCCCCCTGCCCCAGTGCTCTTTAGGGCCAGTCTGAGCTCCAGATTAAGCCCTGGGACCCCAGCCTGGTCCCCGGGGGAAACAAAAAGTAGCATGAAAATTTCTTAACATGATGTAACCTCCTCCTCTTTTAGTCCCGAGTTAAAAAATCAGATTCCCAGAATATGCGCAGTGGGTTGGACGAGTGGTGGCATGGGAGGTAGGGTAGCTGAGCTGTCCTGCCCTGGGCCCAGGGATGGAAAGACAGAGCCATGAAGCTGATGGGGGAAGGTGTGGATGGTGAGAAGAGAGGCTGCACCAGGGATGGAGGAGATGGCAAAATGACCCACATCCCTCCCCGGGCTGTGCTTTGGGGACCTACCTGTCTCCTGAGCTCCACCTCAGCCTCTGATGCTGGGCTCTTCCCAGACCTCCTCATTCCAAGATCCCCCAAACCAGCCTCCATGAGCTTGTCTTGTCAAAAAGGCCCTGTTGCCGTGGTGATGTCCTTGCCGATGTTACAGTGACAGCTGCCTGACTCTGTTCCACCCCTCCCGGCTCATGCCGTTCTCTGTCTCCTTGGCCTGGTGTCTGCCTACAACCCTCTTCTGTCAATTCAAGTTTGTTCTCTTCATTAAACAGAGCCCTGGAGGCCCCTCTGGCTAAGACAGCATTTCCTTCCTGGCTCCAGCCTAATTAGATGCCACAGATCTCAGCTGTCCCGAACCAGGCTTATGCTTCCTGACCACCAGCTCTTCCCTGACATTAGATGAGCAGAGTAGGGGATCACCTGAGGGTCTCCCGGTCAAGAAGGTATAGGGGACACAGACTCAGAACCTCCTTGTCATGTCACCCACCCACAGCTGAATTCAAAGGAGCTTCCCTTACACGACATGACATGCAGCAGGACAAGGTGGAGCTAGGCTCACAGTCATCTGGAGGAATGAAAGCTAAAACCAGAAGGAAGGGCTTCCCGCATGAAGGGGTGTGAGATGTGTGGAAAGGTGGGGGTGCAGGGAGAGCCCCTCCCCTTTGAGGTGCCAGAAAGAGGCAAGGGGACATAAACAATGACCCCTAGGTTTGCTGGCTGCAGACATCTTGGGTTACCAGGTGTGTGATGATCTCCCCAGTTCCAGGAAGGTGGCCCCAGCCTTGCACAAGAGGCTCTGGGGTCAGGGCTGAAGGGTAGGGCTCTGTGGGGCTCTCAGGCCCCTAAAGAGTGCGGGCAACTACGTTTCTCCTCTCCTCACTCCTAGCTCCAGTCTGAAGCCCCAAGGACTCAGGACTCCCTCCCACCTTCTGGCAGGCCTAGTGCCCGCTTGCTAGGCTGACCCAGGTCTGCCCCTGTGATGGACACCCCTCCCCTCCTTCCTCAGCCAGTTTTCTGCTGGCAGGGACTAGGGATCTGGGTGGCTGCTTCCTCCACCCGTCCGCATGTTTTCCTCAGTGCCTATCTCCTGCTGCCTGCCTGAGGGGCCAGTTCCAGCCTGCCCCTCATAAATAAGGGAACACTCGGTTCTGCACGGGTGGGCTCCATGCCCAGGGCTGGGGAGGGGGACGGTTTTCTCCTGGCACAGGAAGCCTTGGGTGAGACACCTCAGCGGGGCAGTCCCAGAGACAGGCGGCACCCACCGGGAATGGGCCTCCGTAGACCAAGAGTGATGTCAAGACAGAGTGTGGCCTGGGCAGAATGGAGTGCTGGGAGGGCCAGAGTGCAAGCTGCAGTGTGGGCAGAAGGAAAGAGAAGATTTTGCCAGAAAGGAGACTCCCGCCCCTAACCCCTAGCCCCCATGCCAGGTGAAGTACGTGTCTAGAGGCGGCAGCTCTCTGAGTCACAACACGGGAATCAGAAGTTCTCCATCATGGCCCCCCTCCAACCCATCGCCTCACTGCAGGGAGCCCAGGGGCATGACGGGTGGAGCAAGGCAGTTTCAGAAATGCAGCAGATGGGACAAGGTCCTGACAGGAAGGGGGCAGAGGCACACTTCAGGCTCTCAGGGGTTCTTAGTACCCAGGAGGAGACCCAGATGATACGACCAGGCCGTTTCCGGACTGGGTGACCCATTTGTCTGATGACACTGAGGCTTGACCAGGACAGTAACTTGTTCAAAGGCCAACCCAGAGGGTGTCCTGCCCAGTCCTAGGGGCACCCTGCACCCAGGAGAGGAGAGCTAGTCCTGCAAGAGCCTCATCAATTCACACCGGAAGTAGACCTCCTCTGCCAGGCCACACAGGAGAGAGGGTGTGTCTGGGCAGTGGTCTTGGAGGCTCTCATGCTGGGAGAGACAGCCCCCCAACCATGCCATGAAGCCGTGTCTAAGGCACTGTGGGAGGAGACGGTGAGAGCTTGCTGGAGGGCTCAGGAGGGTGACCCAGAGGATGTGACATTTAAGCCGGGCCTTGGAGAATTTTGCAGAGGACAAGGTGAGAGGAGGGGGGCGGGCACTGCCAGCACAGAGAACAGTCTGGGCCCAAGGCCAGGGGTCAGGAGCACCGAGGTGTAGGGGAACAGCGAGGCAGTGAGTTACAGGCCAGGAAGGGGAGCGTCAGAAGGGCCCCAAGACCTAGGCTGTCCTGGCATACTGCAGGCTCTCGAGATCTGTCAAGCAAATGAATGAATGATCAGATATGTGCCCTGTTAGAAAGATCATCCCCTGTCAGAGTCACACGGGTCAGTGACTCTGTGGACCCCTCGAATTGCAAGCAAAACCAGGTGTATAAAGAGCATGTTTTCTGAAGCAAGGGTCAAGGTCTTTACCAGATTCCCCACTAGAAGCTAGACTAGAAACTCCGTGAAGGTGGGGACCATGTCTGCTCCGATCTTTGGTGCATCTCCAGCCTCTGATAGAGTGCCTGGCACACAACTGTTGCTCAGCACATGTATGTGAGATACAGAAATGAATTCATAAAGGGGCCTGTGGCCCAGAAAAGGTGGGGTGTGGTCAAGAGTGAGACCGTGGAGGAAAAGAGGCTAAAGTCAGGGAGAGCAGAAGTGAGCAGGGAGAAGGGTGCCTCCTTCCAGAGGCGGGGTATCCACCTGGAGGGGACGGCACGGGGGTAGGTGCCGGCCAGCGGGCAGTCTGGTTCTGCCACAGCTGAGAGGAGAGCACAAGGGGCAAGGCGGAGAGGCTAGACTGGGCCATTCTGGGTTAGAGATGTCTGTGGAGCTTTTCCGGTAAGCAGCCTGAGGTGACTTCTAAAAATTCACTACTGACCCAGAAAACCCCACAAAAATCATGCAAATCATAGAGGTTCAAGTCTTCGTGTTCACTTTAAGAACACTCGTGAAACTGCCCAGGCCATTAAGGGTATGCATATCCGAAAAGCCACCAAGCATCTGAAGGATGTCACTTTACAGAAATAACCTGTACCATTCCATCATTACAATGGTGGAGCTGGTAGGTGTGCCCAGGCCAAACAGGGGGGCTGGAAGCAGGGTCGGTGGCCCAAAAAGAGTGCTGAATTTTTACTGCACCTGCTCAAAAATGCAGAGAGTAATGCTGAACTTAAGGGCTTAGATGTAGATTCTCTGGTCATTGAGCACATCCAGGTGAACAAAGTCCCCAGGATGCGGCGCAGGACTTACAGAACTCATGGTCGGATCAACCCATACATGAGCTCTCCCTGCCAAATTGAGATGATTCTTACTGAAAAAGAACAGATTGTTCCTAAACCGGAAGAGGAGGTTGCACAGAAGAAAAGGATATCCAGAAGAAACTGAAGAAACAAAAACTTACGGCCTGGGAATAAATGCTGCAAAAAAAAAAAAAAAAAAAGAGATCTGTTGGGTATCTCTGGGGTGGTAACTAAGTGTTTACCTGGCAGCATGGGTCTGGAAAAAGAAAGGCCATCAAACTAGAGATGGAGGCTTGGGGGTCATCAAATATAAGAGGGTGAAATCACCTACTGGTGGAGAGGGCAGGGTGCTCAGAGGCACAAGAGGACCAGCAGGAGGACCACAGGGGCAAGGAAGCAGGTGGCACCCATGCCAAAGGCTGCTGAGAGGCCTGGCGGCCGGGAAACTCTGAGGTCACAGGGTCTGTCAAGAGCCACAGCTGCAGAGAACTGGGGCTGTATTTACAGGGCAGATTTCTGCAGAGCAAAGAGGAGTGGAGGATGATCTGTGTAGAGTCAGTGGGTGTGAAACTCCCTCCACGTGGTGATCGAGGGAAGGAGCAAGATGGGGCAACAGCCGGAGGAGGAACGGGAGGCGGCAACGTGGAGGGAAAGCTTTTAGAAGAGAGGCGATGTTAGTGGTTTGTTGGGGGGAAGAGAGAGAGAGGCTGAAGTCACCAAAGAAAGGAGTTTGTTGGTGGCACAAGGGCTCTGTGTGTGCAGGAGGATGTGGGTGAGTGTGAGGGCCACGTGCGGATCAGGAATGGGGATGAGGATGGGCCACGTTGTGGACTGTTTGAGAGTAATGCGGCCGGCAAGGAGCACCCCGTCTCCTGACTTCTGCTGTCTCAGTGAAGTAGGGGGAAGGGGAGACGGGGCCCCCCAAACTGTAGAAGCCTGTCCACTCCTCTCTCCAGCTCAGAGCCAGGCTTGGCGGGGAAGGGGTGAGGTGGCCTCAGAAGGTGAGCTTGATGGGCACCCTGTAGACTGGTGACACCCCAGACCCCCCTCCCAAGTTCCCTGAGGAAGCAGTGTTCTTTCAGCCATAAACCTTTGATCTGCACCAAATCCTCTTAAATTACTTTCTGTTTTCTGCCTGGACCACTTTCCAGGGTGACCAGTCCTGTCTTTGCTCCCTGTTCACAGAGAGAGAGTCAGAAAACTGGAAGCCCTGCCCAGACCCCTGACCCCCACCTCCTCTTTCACAGGTTTCGGAGACTAAGGCCTGAGGGCAGGATGTGTACATCCGGGGTCACCTGGCAAACCAGGATCAGCCTGAGCCCAGACCCTTTTTCCATCACTTTCTGTTGTCGGACAGGTTGGAGGGTCCTCTAAAATCATCTTCATTTGCATTTTGCAGGGGTGAGGAGGAAATGATAGCTCCTCTGGAGGGGCAGGAAAGGCGGGGGCGTGCCTCAGCCAGAGAGGGAAGTCCACAGGGCCCTCAGGGCCCGCAGAACAGACGTCAGGCTTGTCCTGCCTTCTCACAGCCCCTCAGGAGAGAGGTGAGGGGCTGCCCTTGGACGTCTGGCTTCTCTGGTGCCTGGAGCCCCCTGTCTGGCCGATCCAAGATGGAAGAGAGGCCACCTTCCACAGCCCAGAGACTCTAGAGCTTCAGATTCTCTTCCCTGGAGCACTGACTCAAGGACTAAAGTCAGTTTCCATGTCACGGGGGAACTGTCTGAGATACAGACTCCTTCGACACCAGTCAAAGCCATGTGCCTTTCCCTCACCTGGCTGTCTGCCCAGTGCCAGCTTGCTGAGCTGAGGAACCAGCCCATCATCACACGTGCCCTCCCAGACACAATCCAGAGTCAGGGTCCTTCACCAAAAACTGCCCAATAGTGGGCTTTCCGACCCTGTGGCAGGTCCTTTGAGAAGTTTTATGCCCAAGATGGGACTCCACAGTTAAAGCTGATTTGGACAATCAAATTGCCTTCAACCATCCAGGGACATTAATTAAGCAGGTACCATCCGTCTGCAAGATGCTGGGGCAGCATCACCAGAGGGGCTGGAGCTGCAAGGAGAAACTGGGCGCCACAAAAGAGGGGGGACTGGAACTGGTTCCACAGGTGGATCTGGGGGAACAACCCTGGGCTCTTCCCGGCTCAGGCCCCTCCTTCTGAGGAAGGATCGGGGGTGGCTGGGTGGATGGAGGGAGGGATGTCGCTCACCTGCCATTGCCGTACTTGATGCGAATGTCGCGGCTGCGGTTGAGCTCCTTGCCGTCCTTGAACCAGCGGTAGGAGGGCTGGGGGTTACCAGCTGCTGCCTCACACTTCAGTGATTGCTTCTCACCCACCTGTCCTGTCTGGCTCTTCATCTTCTTCAGCTTGGGCCGGGTGGCTGTGGGGATACAAGGCAGGAGGTGAGCGTGTTGGTGGTGGGGCAGCGCCAAGCATGCGCAGCAGAGGAAGGGCCACTGTCCTTGGGGGGTGGGGAAGAGGGTGAGCCTGGGGAGCCACCCCTCCTGGTGTCATTTCCTAGTTCAAATCAATAAGCCTTCACAGAGGGTCTGCGTTGATGTCAGTGTGGGTACCGCCTATGGAGAGTTTTCCTTCATGCCTGGAATGGTACTCAGAGCTTGATACACATTAGCTGATGAAAATCACCCCGTGAGTTCATTGCAATGATTAAACCCATTTACAGATGGGGAAAACTGAGGCTCAGAGTGGTGAAGTCACCTCCCCAAGGGGCTGGAACTGGAATTCAAACCCAGGTCTCCTTGACTTCAGTGCTCATGATCTAATTCCTGTCCTAGACCCCCAGGCCTATGCTGGGCCCAGAGGACACAAGTGGACCAAAATGACAGACACAGCTCCTGCCCTCAGGAAGTTCAGTCTAGCAGAGGAGCTGGAACCTGGCATTGACATCACAGCGTGGTTTATGGAGGCCTGGGGGTGCTGAAGCCCAGAGGCGTGTCCCCAACCTAGACTGCGGGAGGAGCTAACTCAGCTGAGAGCTAAAGGATGGGGGAGCTAGAAGGGAGGGAGGTGGCCCAGGCTGTGGTTTATCAGAATCGCACGTGGTCAGCAAGGTGAGCTGCCCTGAATGGGTGAAGTGGTGTGGCTGTGTGGGGGATGGGGCCTGGGGCTACACTGGTGGGCACAGGGCTGCAGGGCTGCAAATGCCAAGCTAAGAAGTTTCTCCCATTTTTCTTGAACACCATTCTATTTCCACCTGCCCTGGTCTCCCATGTTTCATCTCCTTGCCCCCCTCCCTCTAACAACCTAAAAAAAGAAAAGGAAAAAGTACTCTGTTCTTAGGACAGTGATGGCAAGTCCCTGCTCCCTGCTGGGGTGTGTGATAATTTCCACTGGGACAGCCCTGTAAAGGATACTCAGTGCCTTTGTGTGTGCTCTCATTTGGTCACCGAGCTCTGTAAGGCAAGTGTCATGCTAACATAAAGGGTGAAGATGAGACTCAGGTTAAGAAACTTGGCCAAGGTCACCCAGCCAGGCAGCCACAGAGCCCAGGTATCTGGATTTGCAGTGTGTCAGGCTTGTAGCAGGCCGGTGTCTGCTTTTGCAGCCTCAATGGCTCTCTTTGAGGAACAGAGAAACTGGTTGAAGGGAGGGTCTGCTGGGGCCAGAGAGTTGTCTGGGGACTGACTGACCCTGTCTAGGCCATTGGTCCTTCCCCCACCCGTTCAGAGTCACAGCTCAAGCTGGCTCTGGATAAAGACAGGTGAGAGGGCCTGGCTACAGGGGCCCCTCACTGAACCTAACCCTGGGCTGCTGCTTTTAGTAGGGAGTAGATGAGCGTGGGGTACAGGGGTAGAGGGAGCATGGAGAGAAAGTGCTCCCAAAGCCTTAAAAAATATAGTACACAGATTCAAAAAAATGGTGCTTGTGAAATGATTTTGTTCATTTTAGAAAATTCGAAAATACAAATGGATAAAAGAAAATAAAATCATCCATTATCCTAGTACTTACCAGTATTTAAAACACACATACACACACACACACACATATGCACCTACACATCTATTTTTAAACAAAGTGGGATCAGTGCCAGTAACATGTTTCTTTCATGTAATGAAACACTGTAAGCCTTTCACCTTGGCATTAACTATTAATAACATTTTGCAAAGTGACTTCTATAGGACAGGCATATCCAGAAAGAGGATAATAGATACTACTTAAGAAAACGGTTCCACGAGCAAATCAGTTTGGGAAACACGTGGGTAAACATTAAAGAAGTATCTTCATTGACTTCAGTATGATTCCCCAAGTAAGGGTCTTGGAGCTTTGTTGGGAAACCCTTGACTTTATTTCCTTGAAATGCTATTATCTGGAATAAGTTCTATAACATAACAACTTATGTGTGTATATATTTATAGATATATAAATATTTTAATAGAGAATATATTCACATGATTCAAAATTCAAGAAGTGAAAAGGGGTATATGGCTTAAAAAACAGATCTCCCTCTAACTTCTGACCAAGGCCACACAGTTGCCTTTCTAGAAGGCAATCAATTTTATCAGTTCCTTTTACATCCTTTCAGAGACCTTTTAAGCATAAACAAAAACTCCTAGTATTTACACACACATTTTTTCCCTATAGCACCATTTTTAGGGTTGCATAATATTCCTGAATGGGTGAATCAGAACTTATGTAACCAATTCCTACTGTGGAGCATTCAGCATACATTCTCCCCTGCCTCACCACACCCCATCACAGACAAGCCCAGAGGAACACCATTGCAGCTTCATACAGTGTATATATCCAGTGCACATCAACCTTTGCACATATCCAGTGTATACTGCTGTAAGGGCAGTGAGGCTCCTGACTCAGACTGCCTGTATTCAAACCCAGGCTTTGCTATTTGTTAGTTCTATGTCCTCAGGCTATTGCCTTAATCCTTCTGTGCCTCAGCTTCCTCATCTGTAAAACACAGGTGATAAAAACAGCTCCTACCTCGTGGGATGATGACTGAGGATTATATGAGATAAGGGATGTAGAGCTCTGGCACGCACAGAGCATTTAATAAAGGTTAGCTATTACTGTTATTATTATCCACAATTATTTCCTAAGGCAATCATCCTAAAAGTGGAATTGCTGCACCAGAAAGGTGTGCAATTTTCCTCAGCTTTACACTTTGCCAAACTGCGTTCTAGAAAGGTTGCACCAATTTGCACTCCCACCAGTGAACGATGGTGCCTGTTTTTTCCACACCCTCACCAACATGAGGTATTATCATGTATTTAATCTCTGCCAATTAGCTAGGCAAAAGGTAATGCCTCTTTGTTGTTTTCATTTGCACTTATTTGATACCTGGTGAGGCTGACCGCTTTTCATAAGTGTATTGGCTCATTGTATTTCTTCTTTTTGAATTGCCTGTTCTTGTCTGTACTCTTGTTTTTCTACTGGGTGCTCATCTTCTTACTGATCTGTAAGAGTTCTTTATAAATAGTAAGGCTATTCACCTTTTGCTACAATGTTTTTCCCCAATTACCTGCTTCTTACATTTTTAAATGCCGGTTTATTGTTTTGGGTTTTTTTTTTTTTTTTTGACACTCGGAGGTTTTATGTGTATCAACCTATCAATCTGTGGGACTTTCTGGAACTTCATTATTCTAGTGTGATTGAAGCCCTGCCTCAGCATCCTTCTCCCTTACCTACACCCCACTGTCCTCCGTCTGCTTGCTCTCGGGGCCCGTCACTCCTTATCAATAGTTATTAACCCTAGATGCTAATGAGAACCATATGGGAAGCTTTAAAAAGTGTGTCAGTGCCAGGGACATTGTTCTGGACATTCTGAAGCAGGACCTGTGAGGATGGGTCCAGGTATGTGGGTTTTAAAAATATATAATAAATACGTAACATACTCTAGGCAAGAGCACATATTGTAAGTGTAGAGCTTGACAGCTGGCTGCAAGCTGAACACATCTTCACAGGCGGCTTTGCTCCAATGTTGGGTTGACACCCAGTGATCTAACCTCTTGGTCACTTGGTGACCTGCAACTAGGCTCCTCCCCCTCCTCGTGAACTGGGGACACAGAGAGCTCTTCTCAAGTTCTAAGGTGCCTCCTTCCCCTGCTTGGAGAGTGTTGACCTTCCCTGAAGTTCTGAGGTTAGGGAGACCCCTGACCCCACCCTCCCCAACCCAGGCTCCCTTCCTCCCAGTGAGCCAGGGTGGGGGTGGTGGAATACCTGGTGGGAGGAGGTGGTGCTTCCTGACAAGTCCTGGCACCCTGTGCCCTGAGCCCGAGGCCACTGCTTAATGGTGGTGGTAATGGTTACACAGAGACTGACCCAGAAACAGCAGACACGACCCCAGTTCAGAGGGCCCGAGGAACTGGGGGCTTCAAGGTCGTTCCCTGCCACCAATGGGAAACCCAGCACAGCATTTCAGATGACAAGGAGCCACCCCATCTAGTGAGAACCTTGTGTGACCTGACCCGAGTGACAGTCCCCTCACTTCAGAACAACCCCATCCAGTTCACTTTTTCCCCATTCATTCACCCTACTATATACCAGGCACTGTTCCGGGCCCTGCGTGTACAGTGGTGAACAAGGCAGATGAACTTCCTGCTCTTGGGAGCCTGCATTAGAGTGAGGAGAGTAGATAACAGCAAACAATCTCAGGAAATATGAGGCAGTGATAAGCTCCTGGATAAAGGCCTTGAGGGGTGAATGAGCTTGGTGAGTTCAAGGGATAAAAGAGGCCCAGGTGGCTAGGAGATTCTGGGAGGCAGGGGAGCCTGGAGAAGTAGGCCCAGGTGACTGACATGAGGCTGTGTGAGCTAGGACGAAAAGTCTGGGTTTGTTTTGCCTCCCCCCGCCACTTTTTATGTGCTTACTAGAAAACTTTAAATTACATATGTGGATCGCATTATATTCCTGTTAGACAGCACTGGGCTAAAGGATGGCAATAAAAACCACCATACATTTCAATCATGCTGTGTTCTTTACGAAGAGTCTTCTTTTCTGTCTCTTAACAGTTCCTCACGAGCATCATCTGAGATACTGAAAGCCTATGTCTCCTGCTCTAGCAGCATCCAGTCCTGGTCCCTGTTCACAGATACCTTAGTTCACGGCTCTTTGAAAGCCAAGGATGTGTGTTTTGAAAACGAATGGGACCCCGTGAACAGGCTGCATTTTTTACTTCAAGCAAGTCCCTTGGAGAGAGGAGCGGCAGCCCAGGAAGAACACCCCGCAGGTGGCACTGGGAACACTGCCCAGAGGACCTCTGTACCCTCACTCCTGGGCCTGGAGCCCTGTCAGGCTTTCTGCAGTGAGGAGCGTGGACAACCTGCGCAAGATGGCCCTGGAGTTTTGTAGATGTGATGGGAGGTATCAGAGGCTTATAAGTCGGGGAATGACTTGATCTTACTTTAC